GCAAAGTAAGAGTCGAATCAGGGTACTTTGAATTAGAAATCTACGATACTACTATTGAGCTAACTTGCCTGAGAAACTACTGAATAAATCTCATATTCATAGTTGTCGAATCAATCCTCACGAGTTATCACGTGTAAAAAAGTTCCCACGCGTGATTACTCGTGCACTTCCTAAACCTTTTTTCTTAGTTTCCAACTTTTCCAAACTTTTTTAGTTAACACTTCCTCCCGGGGAACAAGATGATTCCCAGGCATATTCCTACAGCAAATACCTTCGGTCTACAGCAAAGGTTTTCATCTATATGTATGTACAACTTTCGGAAGATATAGGAGAAATTTGTATTTACGCTTGCCGCTCAATCTTCACGACATTCCGCACGTGAAAGGTTTCTCACGTGGACGCGCGTGAAACGTAAGAATTTTATTACTTGGGGTTAAGCGTGAATATTATTCACGAAATGGGTTGCGTGAAAAACTGACGTACGAATAAATGTGAAGATATTTTTCACAATGAAATTAGTGGGAAACATTTTCACGCGTGTCCGCAAGTGATATTTTTTTACGGAAATTTTATCATGAGGAATTCACGTGTGGCCACTACACACTTCACGACTTTCACCTGTGATCACGTGGAAAAAATATGACGCGAAACGTTTTCGTGACCAGTTCACCCGTTGTTACAAGTGGAATACATTTTTCACTTTTGCTCACACCCCATTTTACGATGTTCACGTGCGACCACAATTCATTTCACGATATTCACGCGTGTACACACGCGTGTACCTACTAAAATTTCCCCATGGGTAAAGTATGTTTATATAGGAAATAAAGAAATGTTTCTTTTTGGTTCGTAACAGTTCTCCACTATTTTGAGTGGTAAAAAGCTCGAGGTGATCTCAAAATGTAGCCAAGACCTGGCACTACAACTTAACAGAGCCAGATTTTTGATTTTCGATCTCGTTTTTGAGAAAAATGAGTTTTCCAAAAAATTAGCCGAAGCTTTTCTCATAAAAGTTGTGGAAAACCTAAACAAAAAATATTTCAAAACTCAAAATTGGATATTCTGGAACGAAGAAAATAGATTTTTGACAAGGGAAGAGTGTCTTAAAGATCAATCTGAATTAAGGATGTAAGTTTATAGATGACTATTGACTGAATTAATTTTTTGGGTATTTAAAGTCTGTGATATTCAGTTTTTTATTTAGAAATCGAAACGTCAAGTATATTTAACGTATGTTGATCATAAAATTTTGAAAGATGACAATAATAATTCGTCTTCTTTATCGTTGAATTCATCAAAATCTACTATTGAAATTTATTCAAATCCAAATTTAACTAAACGTATAACAATTTATCAATTAGCCGAATGTTTTTCTGCGGAATATTTTGATTCAATTAAAAATGATTATCAGCAATTTATGAATTTCTATTTTAATTCATTTACTATTCAATTATTTTTTTATGAAAATGATGTTGAAGAAAAAAAACAAATTGTTATCAAACACATTGAAAGTTTATTTCATGAAAAACACCAACTACAACCAAATGATACATGTGCCTCACCTTCCTCACAATTACCAGCAACAACATCTGTCGATAATATTTTGCATACTTTTGATGTTCAATTACTTGTTTCCGGCCATATCATACCAAAAGATCATCAATTAGTCGGACATGTTCGTCTATATTTTACCACAACAGATTTATTTATAACGCAGTTTAGTTGTCTTATTGCCGATTTAAAACAGACAATAATAAATCAATATTCAGCATCAAAAAAAATCATGTGTATTCCGTATTATACAATACGTAATTATGGAAACAGAGGACAAATATTTCTAATTGAACTAGGTAAATCTGATCATGGTGATGGTGAAATACATATGAAATGTTTAAATTCATCATTGGCACGTACAATTCATTTATTAGTTAGTCCAGTAATTGAAGAACGACCACCTGTTCTATCATCAGCGTTTCAAAATCAATTGTTAACGTTGAAAAGAATGGAAAAATCAAGACATATACAACCGCCCGTTCAGTTAAGCACCAGTGGTTTTATAAAATCGCGATCATTACTATCAATGGCCAGTAATGAACAACAGCAGAAGTCAGTAGTAAAAAAACGCTGGTATAAAACGGTTAATTTACATTCACAAACATTAGTTAAGCCAACAGTAGATGAGAAAGTTTTAACTTTATCATTATATGAAGAACAACAACAGCAGATTCAGGTAAAAGCCTTCATTGTAGGATGCTATTCAAATAAAAAACTTTTTGTACACAGACATTTTTGTAAAACTCGTAATGTTTATTTTAGCCTGATAGAAATGGAACTGATATTTTCCCATGCGAATCAATCAATGCTCCCAATAATTCAGAAGTACAACAACAGTGTTCACGTTCATCGTCATTTCCATTTAATTTAATGTGTCATATGCCAAAAAAAGCATCACCAATTATTAATGATAACGATAAAAAAAGTAGTGAAAAACCCGTTAGCGTTAAATTAATTAAGCGTTCGGTTACATTTTTTACACGAAAACTATCATTTCGTAAAAATAAACGAACAGCTCATAGTTGTAGTGATGATAGTGATGAAAGTAATTCAGTTCTAGCCAATACTATAGATGCAAAACCAGAACTATCAATGCCTACAACTATCTCAAATACTCAACATCAAACACTATCAAAACCGTTTCACACAAATACACATTATTTACAAACAATTGATTCATCCAATGAATCACAACAACAAAAGTTTAAACCTATTAAACAAATAAATAGTTGTCTAGTTGACAAAGGTATATTTTTAGTTTGAGATCCAAGCAATTACATTAGTTCCTCTTAAAATGTTTATATAATTTTTAGTTCATTGTGATGCGAGCTTAGAGAGAGAATACAATTCACACGTGGGAGTATCATCAACGTACGTGGAAATGACTAGTGATTTGACCAAAAGCATAAGAAATAATGAAAATAGCAACAACATTGAAGAGAATGCATTGTCAGACGAAAATCGATCGATAAATGAAAATGATAACGAATCACAAACATCGACTAAACTTGATGCATCAGTCAATAGTAAATTTAGATAAATTTACTTTGTTTAACATTAACTTATTGCTTTTTTTCTGTGTAGCTACAATTTCCATGCCGCCACATGTTCGTTTTGCTGTGATTGTTGGTCATACTGTTCATTTGATTGCGGATGGTATATTCGAGTATCTCTGTTATGTTTCTAATCTTAAGATATTTTATTCTTATTTCAGAAAAGTCACTATTACCAAATGTTGGTCCACGATCATTCACATCTCCTGCATGCGTGATGCAACCGTTTAAAACCCAACTTTATTTACAATCAAAACTAAGAAGTATGACTTTCTTTGTTGTTTTTTTTATTTCTTTTTCTATTTAACAATATGAATATTTGATTACTCTAGATCCAAAATTGGAACAAACTGTTTTGTCTTATTCTTATCTAAATAGTAACATGAATAGTTCTGGGTATGCATGATTATTAATATCAATTATTCATTTAAAATTTCTTTGTATTACGATCTTATGCTTCAGTGTATGAACAATTTATTTTCCATTTTTCAGGTATAGCTCATTATATAAAACATCTCAACCAAATTCTGCTTCACCATCACAACAGTCACTATTACTTTCCTATGGTGTTGTCACTTTTCCATCATCGTCCGACGTTGAATCAAATTTAGTTATACAAGCGACGCAAGCAACTTCAATGAATGATTTTGAAAAAAGATTTAATTCTGATTTGAATCTGAAGTCAAATAATTATTTTCAACAACAATTACGTCAAGATAGTATCTCATCCGGATCAAGCACTCAAATTGGTCCCATGGTCGGTTATGATGGAGGTATGATAAAAAATTCAGATTTAATGAATATTTGAACAAATTTTTCTCTTTAACACTTAGATGAACAGTCTATAGCAGGCAAGATATCATTACCATCCATTTCAAGCGACACGGCTTCAATGACAACACCTACACTTCCGTTTACATATCTTATCGGACAACCGTTAACAACAATAATTGATGAACAAGCGAGTAATATTTATCAATCAACTCCACGACATTCATCAATTAATTTATGTCATCATGCAACATTATCCCATATAGATGAAGAAAAAAATTGTGATCCATATGCCTTGACTGAGCCAGTATTGACACCTTCCTTCAGCAGTCGATCGCAGTCACTAAAGACACCATTTTTACGTTCACCGCCGTCGACTAAAAATAACGGCAATACTAGCACAACAACGATGAATATTTATTATACCGATTTACTATTTCCACAGCAATCTCTGGATAATAAGGAATCTTACTCAAATCATGATTCACCTACTCTAACAGAAGATTCGACTAATGATTCAAGTACTGATCAACAAAAAATATATACAGATATTGATTTTACGGAGACAAATCGTCGCACAACAAGTCCACCACAATCTAGTGAGATTTCTACTCAATTTGAAACTGGAGATCTAGCACCATTTTGTCTATGACATATTTTTTAATTAATTTTTCTGTTTTGTGCAATTTTATTGGTTATTATGTTGTGTTCGTGTTATACTTGTCCTTTTTATCTAATTCTTTTTTATTGTTGTTAATATTTAACCCGGTTTTTTAATTTGTCTGTCTCCAATTTTTTTTTCAAGTTTTTTTATTGTGTTGTGATGCATGTTAAATGCAAGTTTTATTCGTTTTTTGTCAAAAACGTTTTTCTTGGAATATTTTGTGTGTATAAGTCATTTGATTCCTCATCTTGTTGTTTTTTCCGTTTTCGCTCATATATACTGTGGTTATTGTGGTTATTTTTCAGCTGGTTTATTGCTCACTTTCTATATTTTTATTTTGAGATAACTGTACTATCATGTTTTTTTCGTAATGTTTATTTTCAGACAAAATTAAGAAAGAAAATAATACATTGTATTTGTAATATCTATATAAACGTATTTGTGGACTTTTTCTATATATGGATATTTATCTGTTAATAATAGGGCACTTCTGCATAATTCCGTTCAGTTTATACGAGACAGAGAATCGACAATATTTTTAACCATTGAATTATGTAGCATGACAGGTGGTCCAATAAAACTAGACCGAAAAATCATGCGAATAAGTGCAGCTGCAGCCAAATGGTCATTGAAAGGCTATGTAACAGGAATGCAACGAGTAGACAAGTGTCTAATCGTGCCGAAAATGTTGGTCTTGTTTATATCCGACTTCATTTACTATAAAACTACCGATGAATATAGTATGACAAGCTAAAGAGCATCAGTCTATCTAAAAAAAAATGCTATACACTTTTATAACTTAGTAACTTTCAATCGATATTTGTATTATGTATTTCGATATACGAGGACAAACCTGTCTTATCATATAGACTTAAGACAAGTTCAGAAACAAGCAGAAACTGTCCTTTAAGACAGGTTTAGAACGAAAAACCTTTCAAACTCTGATATGAATTAGACTATAGGTTTCCAAAAAGGTCATGTTATAGTTCTGTTAGATAGGTCCGCCCAATATTGTACTGGTTCAGAGTCTATATTATGATTTGGAGCCGCAGTTGAATGCCTTTGATAGAGGAAAGATTTACCTATGATCTTCACCACATGGGCAGTTAGGTAAACAGTCTTCTTCCTACAATGTTTTTTCTGCGTACTTTTAGATTTTGAATCAGACGTTATTTTCACTTTGCCATAATTATATTCAAAGAACCGTATTTCTTTGATACGTGTAGGCTAATAATAAGGCAAAATAAAGCCGCTTTTTCAACGTCATTAATCTATATGCTGCAGTAAATAAAGCAACGAAGTTGTTGGTGACTATAAACAAAAACATTTTAGTAAACGATGATTTTGATCATGTCAAACATTTTTAAACGAAATAAATTGGACTAAGGATGATAAAAATGAGTTACCCCCAACGTTTTTCTTTAGAGGACAATATGGCATTCTCGCACAAAGAGAGAGCTGTTCTCTTTAAAGAACATTTATGGTCAAAATATTTTGTTCGAAGGGCTAGTCATGTACAAAAATTTCTTATAAAAAAATATACTGTCTAATCCCGTCGTCAAAAATCACATTTTTAGGGCAGTTTTGGATCTCAGAGGTAATGTCCCCTCACGACTAAAGGAAGTAACTATGATTTACTCAAGGAATGTTTACCGCAGCTTCTCAGTCCTATTAATCACTATTTCTGTTTCTAATGGCAGCTGTAATCCATAATGGCGACTGACTGACGTTGTTTCAGCCTACTACTAAAGTACTGAAGCTTTACCGAGAGCATTGATTGCGTTATGGCTATCTTTAACTGTGATCGGTTACTGTACCAGATTTTGCTATTGAAGTTCTCTTCTTTGAGAGTGAACAATGCCTTGTTCAAATAATCCCAGAGTTATTTATTGTAATATTTGTTAGGTCTTAGCAAAGCGTTCACATTGTTTCACCAGTCTGAAAAACAGCAGAGATTCCTATAAGGAGCCGTTCTAGTATTTAGATTTCGCTCACACACAATCTTTAGAACATTTAGATATCATAACAATTGAAGATTCATTTATTAAATGCTTGCATATTAAGTAAACTAAATTCAATGGTATTGTTTATTATAATAAGTGGTACCTGAATGAAGTTAGCCAGAAGAACAAAATTAGTACCTTGTTTGTTTAAAAGATTTGACGGCGCAGTAACATCCCTTGGGAGTAACTTAAAACTATTCGGTTTATCTACAAGAAAATATTTTAGATAATTGCATTCTTAAGTAAATTCTCTCTTCGCTCTCAATGCTTTATCCGTTTTTCATACATGAAACTATAGATAGAGATTAGATCGTCTGAACAAGCTTCAGAACAATTCACAGACTGAAACATAAAATATTCAAAAAACATGTAGTTTCGTCTTTTTTCTATCGTGCAGATATTAATTGGAATCGTCTTAGAAAAACAAGTTCGAGTATACCTTTCTTGTGTTAATTACTCAGGATTATTTAGAAGAAAGAATGCTGAACTTAACAATTATTTATGTGCTTCTGTTTTAGTCTAAATCTCAAACCAACAAGAAAATATTTTATTTTCTCTGTCAGAAAACTTTTCAACATAGGTCTAAATCACAATTTTTAGAGAGAGAAAAAACAGATTTTAACTGAAAATTCAGAGTTTTTAGAAACTTCGAAATACAGAAAAGATCGAGCATTTTTGCGCATCCGAATAGAAAAGAGGATCAACAGTTCTATCGAACCGTGAAAAAACAATTGAAAAGAAACTTATGGATTTACATTTCCTTGAACATACCATATTTTTTCACATAGTTTTGATATCTGTCAATGAAATCCGAGTAACTACTAGCTAGCTTAGTCTAAAATATACATTTACCGCTTTCAATGATATATCAACCCATAGTTACAGATGCCTAATCACATGAACGGTTAAATTTTATTCTTGTATTATCTAGCAGAGAATGCTACTCTGTTATTCCACTGACCAGCGAGTGCGCATTTTCAACTGAAATCAAATATGCTGTTAAATTCGGAATTATCGGATCTACAACGTTGGACATTACTACAGTCAAAATTTCAATATCTGTCCATGTTTATCGTATGTCTACTTATTGTGTGGGCGCACGGGTGGGGCAATATGTGTAAAAGAAGGATTTAATCATTTTCGACGCCCATAAACAGTGTCATTGTGCCACAAGCAGCATTGTACTCACGACAGTCTTAAATTTTTAATGTTTTCTAACAATGTGCTCATCATCGCACATCAGAGTGAGAAGAGAAAGCCTGAAACTTTTCATCTTTCAGACATTTCTGCTATTCTCAATCCTTTCATTTTTTGCCAGTCGTTTTCAAACAAACTTGTGTAACAAGATAATCGTGTATATTTTGGTGGATAAAATGAGAAAAACGTTTTTCTTCTATTCGTTCATATACCTTTTTTCATAATTTCAAGTAACTCTCAGAAAAGTATTAGTAAACAAGAATTTATGGGCTTTTTTCTTTTCGTCTGTCTACAATAAATGAAAAAGAAGTTCATTTTTGTTTGTAAATCAACTATTATTTTTCTTCATAAACAATCGAGTATCATTTAATTTTATTAAAGACAATTATTGTCAGAAAAAATATTAAAAATCTTGTTGTTTGTGTGTGTGCGTGTGTGGGTATGCTTTTATACACATTTTTCTCTAATGAACATATTGCCTACGACAACCGACGAGCGTATGTTCTCTTTTTTTCTATATAATTGTTGGAATTACTAAATACAGCAAAAGAGGAAATCTTTCTTGTACAATAATATAAGTGAGAAATAATAGATAGGTTTCTATCATAAGCTATCAGGACTTCGCGATACATCACGATGATGATGCTAAATATCGTGATGTATCAATAAAAACATGTATCGCGATATTTAAGATCGACATTTTTCGAGTAAAATAGTATAAAGGGTGTTCTAGAAGTTCTGAAGTAATTTTAGAATGATGCATTTTAAAATTACTTCAGAACTTCTA